CTCCCCAAGTGAGCGCAACGGGCCGATACTATGCCGATCTGAAGCCAGGAGCCTCTTCTGGGTCTCCCACGCGGGTGCAGGTTCCCAAAGCTTTGGGCCGTCCTCGACTGCTTTCCCGGGCCACAGGCAGGGAGCTGGAAGGGAAGCGGGGCTGCCGGGATTAGAACCGGCGCCCATATGGGATCCTGGGGCGTGCAAGGCGAGGACCTTAACCACTTGCGCCACCACGCCAGGCCCTGTGCTTTTATTTTATTTATTTATTATTATTTTTTTATTGATTACATTGTATCATGTGACACAGTTTTACAGGCACTGGGATTCCCCCCTCCCCACCCCAAAACCCGTTCCCCCTCTTCCCCATGGTGGATTCTTCCATCTTGTTGCATTACCACAGGTCAAATTCAGTTGAGATTTTTTTCCTTGCAAGGATCTACAAAGCATAGAGTCCAGCATCTTATTGTCCAGTTAAGTTCAACAGTTTCATGGGGAGACAGTCTCTGGTCTGAAGGTGCAGCCAAAAGAGTATCATCCCAATCAATTAAAAGCACTGACATTACATCAGTAACAATTTATAATGTAATGGAATTAGTTGACATGGTATTGTGTAACCAGCATGTTCAAAGAGAGAGAGAAAAAACAAACAAAAAAGATTGCAAGTTCTGAACCACATCCTATGACTTCTACATTGACATTACAATTATTAGTTTATATACAGCTGGGTTCTATACACCTTAAAATGGCTATAGATTACTATTCAGCTGTCTCATGTCTATTTTAATTTTAGTATTTAGCAGTTCATTGCGTTGAAGCATGATTTTGCAGAACCTGGCTGTTTTTTTGTGTAGTCTAACTCTATAACTGTAACAAGACATATGTCAACAGTTTAGGTGAACGGTTTTAGGAGGGGTGTGCAGAGAAATCTTCAATACCCTAGTTAGGAGTAACTAATCTTCGTGTCCCACCCAGTGAGTTATAAGTGCATCCCTACTGCCCCTTTCCTGTTTCTAAGCTTTCCTTGCTGTTCTCCATCTATTCTAGGTTTTTTATTTGTTTATGTGTTTATTTGTTTTGAGGGATTTCTGGAGCAAGTGCTTTTATTTTAATGTCAACATTTTTAAGATGTGTTTACAGTTTAAGTGAAAAATGTGAAATATCATGAGTCCAATTTTGCAAAACTGGAAAGTATGTATTAAGAGACTGAAAGTTTACTTACTACAAACGTAGCAAGTATTCCTCTGGATGCCAAGAGCTTCTATTCTTTGTTCTTTGGTTCTGCTTTCCATTCTCATAGTGATTGGGTTTTATTTTTTTTATTTGAAAGGTGAAGTTGCAGAGAGGAGACAGATCTTAGGCAGAATTACAGAGAGGAGAAACAGCTCTTCCATTCATTAATTCACACCCCACATGACCACAAAGGCTGGAGTTGAGGTGGTCCAAAGCCAGGAGCTTCTGCTGGATCTTTCACATGGATGCAGGAGCGCAGGCCCTCGAGCCAGTCTCTGCTGCTTTTCCAGGCCATTAGCAGGAAACAGGACCAGGCCAGTACCCATTTGGGTTGTTGATACCACAGGCAGAGGCCTAACCCATTTTGCTGCAGTGCCAGCCCTTTAAGAAAACACAAATACAAGGTTTTCTGTATCATTGGAAATAAAACGAAAATTTAGCAAAAATGTTGCTTTGATCAAGTGCAACTTTGGATGTTTTCTTCCTCCATTGACTCTTCCTGCTTTTCATTTGCCTTCTAGGGTCGGCAAACTTTCTGGAACAGACCAGAAAGTAGATATTCTGGGCTCTAAGGCCTTGCAGCATCTGTGGCTACAGCTCTGTCCTGATGTATGTGGGGCAAATGCAATCACAGATGTTGCATGAGTGAATGACAGGGCCACACCCTGACAAAGCTTTATTTATGAAACCTGAAATCTGAATTGAATCTATTATCCATATCCTCTCTGCCTCCCCACTGTTTGAAACATTTGACACACCGTTCATAGCTGTGTGTGCCTTCTGAGACCACGCGCCAAGGCCAGATGTGGCCCTCAGGCCAAATTGGCCAATCCCTGCTCTATTCTATTACATATTTTCCAGGAAGTTTAAAAATAAAGACACAGTCATTGTTTTCCAGTTTTCTTACTTTAATAATTGTCATAATAACAAAGTATACAATTAATGCATGTAGTCGGGTCACTCCCATTATAGGAAATCTCGTATAGGTAGGAACCAAGTGGGTTCTGCCACTCTACCTGAAATCCTAGGAGGATGGGATTCAAGGTTGACACTAGCTCAGAATCCAACTTGTGTCGATGAAAGAAAGGTGCCTTTCCCAGCTCCCTAGGCAGTGTCAGAACTATCCTTGCACCCCAGGGAGCTGGCTGGGGTGACTTTCTCTGAGGACCTTGGCAGCAAGTCTCCCCTACTGCTGTTACTAAAGGGGCTGAGCTGGGGACCCTGTCGCCACTGGCATGACTCAGCAGGAACTGGCTGCTAGTCCCTCTCTGGTTCAAAGGGGATGTTGTCTCCAGGAGCAGGGTAGCACCACGTGTGAGGCCTTGTGGTTCAATGTCAGTCATTTTGTGGCTCTTCTGGGTGGCTGTTGGAAGCCCTGGTGATTGGGATGGGAAAGAATGGCGTTAGGCCTTGTTTCTCTTTTCCAAGTTTGAGCAGGCTTGTTCATCTTGTTCATTCCTGGAGTTGTTTATTGTTGCTTTTCTTGTAAACATTTCTGTTTTGTTGTTTAAGTAAAACAAATAGTCTCTCTCTCATACACACACACTTCTACCTTCTGGTTCGCTCTAAATGCCTGAAACAGCTACGACTGGGCAAGATTGAAGCCAGGAGCCTGGAATGCAGTTGAGGTTGTTGACCTGGGTGGCACAAACCCAGCTACTTGAGTCATCACCTACTGTCTCCAGGGTGTGCATCAGCAGGAAGCTGCAATTAAGGGAACAGAGCCAAGCCTTGAACTCTGGTTGTCAGATGACCACCTCATGTGCCTTTTTAACTAATTAATTCATTTTATTGGAAAGTCAGATATGCAGAGAGGAGGAGAGACAGAGGAAGATTATCCATCCATTGATTCATTCTCCAAGTGACCAACAGCTGGAGCTGAACCAATCCAAAGCCAGGAGCCAGGAACCTCTCCTGGGTCTCCCTCATGGGTGCAGGGTCCCAAGGCTTTGGGCCTTCCTCAACTGCTTTCCTGGGCCACAAGAAGGGAGCTGGATGGGAAGTGGGGCTGCCAGGATTAGAACCAGCGCCCATATGAGATCCTGGCACGTGCAAGGTGAGGATTTTAGCCGCTAGACTACTGCGCCAGGCCCCATGTGCCTTTTTTAAAAAATGTTTTGGGGGAGGTATTGTGGCATCATGATTTAAACGACCACCTTCAACACCAGCATCCCAAAAGAGTGCCAGTTGGTGTTCTGGCTGCTCCACTTCTGATCCAACTCCCTGCTACGTGCCTGGGAAAGCGGCAATTGATGGCCTCCCATGTGGGAGACACACATGACACTCTTGCCTTCAGCCTGGTCATTGCTGACACCTGGGGAGTGAATCAACTGATGGAAAATCTGACCCCCCCCCAAGCTCTGCCTTTAAAATAAAGTTTTACAAACTAAAAGACTTAAAATTTTTGTCTATACCTACTTATTAGCTAGCTGAATGAACGGATTCATCCAAATTCCATTTTAACTATGTCATCATAACTGGGATATAAGGAATAAGGAACCCAGTATGCCTAGGGGAGGGGAACTATGGCAGTCAATACCAGACACCAGTTGAAATGATCAGTCAAGGTCATTGTAAGCACTTGTTAAATACCGTTAATGCTCAAGGTCTCCTTGGCCCCTGGTCCATTGGACTTGTTTTCTCTGGGTGTGTGATTGGTTAGATGTAATGGCAGGTTAGTGAAAAAAATGTGGGAACATTTTTTTGCATATATTTTTTATTACATTTAATTTATATAACATTTGATAGGCTCTGATGTTCCTCCTTCCCCTCCCCCTGCCCTCCCCCCATTGTGAATTGCTCCACCTTATTGCAGTATTACAGTTCAAATCTAATCTTGTTTCTTTCAATGCAAGCATGTGCCTTGCTTAGTGTCCAGTATCTTATTGCCCAGCTGAATTCAACAGTTTCTTGGGGAGACCAACTCTGGTCTGGAGTCACAGCTGGCAGATTATCATTCTGACCAATTAAAGGGAGCATTTTCTTTCCCATTTTACAGCTTAACAAGGTATTGCCTATCAGAAGGGGGTGTGGCTGGTGATACTACAGTCATGGTTAGGATTCTTCATTTGTGTTTCTCAGTAGTCCTGATTTAAAAACAAGAACCAAGTTGAACTGGAGATTCTCCGTTTTGTTTGGGGAAGGTATGACTGTAACATGGCATGCCCTAAAATAATTCAGCAGGAATAGAGGACAAATCTGATTTATTTCTGAGGTCCTGAGACGTTCGTGCAGCCTTGCAGGTGACTTCTGGTCTTCACCAGGCACTGGCACATCCCAGTGTCCCGTAAGGGCAGTTCAGCACCAGCTTAGCAAGCCAGGAGAGCTGGAGTGTGGCCCAAGGTCCTGGAGAACTGGGGCAGATCTAAATAGCCTCAATCTTAATCTGCTGTTTAATTCCATATTAAACCAGTAAGAGCTGTAGTTAACCAGTTTAATGAAAAGATGGATTTAGGTACCAAGGCTCTCTTGCACAGTGCTGTTGAAGGTAGGATGTCTGGGGCCAGGGGCTCCTAAGGGTTCTTCACACCTAGCGCTGTTGCAGGCTGGACTCGGCCCCCAGAGGGTAGGGGACAGTGACAGTACCCTTCACTCCCCAAGGCAGATGGAGGAAGTTCCCATTGTAAAGTGCATATTTCTTTTGAGGTAAAGAGAAAACCCCTCTGTAAATACCCATATTTTGACTCACAAGTAAGAAAACTTGACTTGTTTTGCAGAAATTTATGTTGTCCCTTTGGATCTTTTAAGTAAGTTAAACTCTGTGTTATCCTTCTAGTTTCGGTGAATCTGCTGTTTCCTGGGATTTTGAAACTGGGAGAGGTTAAGAAGAAAGACAGGTATGTATGTGTACATCAATGAATGAATGTGATTTGGAACTGTGTAACAGATAAAACTCAAAATTTATGAATCAGGTATGGGTTAAAAATCCTAGCTAATACCAACATTTATTGATGAAGTGGTTTGGGGTTGCTTTGGTGACCTCAGCTTCCTCACCTGCAAAATGGGCATAATCTTAAATATTGAATGTTATCTTGGTCACTAATACAGAGGTGAGGTTGTACTTAGCACATGCTGAATTACATTGTTAGCATCATCATCATCATGCTTTTAAACTCAAGCTAAAAATTTTTATGAAATTTATGGCCAATTCCTAGTTTTTTAAATTATAATGTAGCTTTTGATTACTTGATTAGAGAAATTTTGTGTATTTATTTGTGGGTTATGAGTCAAGATTTTGAAATGCGTGTAGCTGACACCTAATTTTTTAAATTTAAAAAGTGAAGAGATTACAGATACACATGGGGCATGTAGAGGGACAGAGCAGGTCTGGCAGAGAGAAATCACCTACATTGTTAGTCTTTCTGTCATCTCAATAATGAAGCGGTTTCCTGATACCACTCCAAGTCCCCAAAAGAAGAAGTGTGTCCTGGGGGATGGGTCATTTGATTTACAAAGAACAATGGGAGTGTGACTTCCAACTCATGACCCTAAGACAAGACCCTACCAGTCCCATTTCATTCTCTCTCAGATTTCTGATTTTGAAGGGCGATTCAAGGGTGCAGAGTCATCACATCTTCTGTATTTACTTTTTGCTGTTATGGATGTAGGGCTTGTCTATCCCAGATTCAGAACTTGCTATCTCATTGGTGGATCCCTCTCTGCAGCTGTAGAGCTTCCATTCAGTGCCACTGGCTGTTTCTCCCTCATCCCCATCATTACTCTGACATATTGGCTTCTTTGTACAGGGGTCAGCAATGTAGACAAAACAATCATGTGACTTGCACACTGAGACAAGACCACACACCTATAGATTTGGTGCTTATGAATGAAAATCCTGGCATGTCAAAGATCAACTTGAAATGTAGGAATCGGCTCCTTGCCAGTGCCAAAAACCATTGGTGGGTCTCACCCACAGCAAGTAGCCTGGTTTGGGGAGGCCTATGGTACCTGCCCCTCACCCTGGATCATGGGGACAATGGCAGTCTGCTCACCACCCTTACTCCCCACCTTGAAAATTTGATGTTAAAGAATAGGCAACTGTGCTAGCACATGTGTATAGATTATAGAGTTGGCATGACCCAGACCCAAAGTGACCGCTAGCTTTTGGATTCTTTCTAATGTTCACCGATTTTGAGAACCACTCAGGTCAGTCCAGATGGGAAGGTTATTAAAAACCTCCTTCTCCAGCAATTCTCCTGCATGCCCATGTTTGAGAACTGATCCCAGACATCCAAACATTTAGTTCTCATGAGTGTCGCTTTCCCAAAGCAGTGAGGACTGGGAAATTTTTACCTATTTGCTATTGGAGGGTTTTTTTTTTTTTCACTTTGTCTATGCTTGTGCTCAGCCATCCTGTCTTTGGGAAACTCTCTTCCTTCCTATTCTGGTATTTGGGATTTCAAGTGATGTTTCTAATTTCCAGGGAAACTGCTAACCAAACTTGCTACCACTTGTGGCTCACAGGGAGTCTATTTATTTGGCTAGTGGCCTCTAAGCTTCTAGTCTGCAGGTCTCTGTGTATTAAAGTGTGTCCAGTTCTTAGGATGTGGTCATGACGACTAAGAACCTAAAGCATGAATCATGGAAAAGCAGGTCAGTCAGTCCTCTTGTGCATGGTAGCCTTATCAGTTGTTATGAATCAGGGTTTGAGCAGGTACCCCAGGGACCTGCTAGGGCATGGAGGTAAGGCAGAGCAGCCACAGCGGGACCACTGTAGGCGCTGTGTTTGAGTTATTGTCTCCATCACTAGCTGTGTGATGCCTAGGACCAGGCATTTGCCTTCTGGAACCCCTGTTTCTTTACCTCTGAAATACAGTAGAGGTATGGGCTTAAAAACCCAAAAATATTTTAAACCTAAAATCATATGAAACAATAGAGCAATGACATATGCAGTTTCCATCACTCATACATTCTGCTTTTTTTTTCCCCCCTTATTGAGTACTGGTTTGGGTGTCACTTGGCTCTACTTCCAATTGAGTTCCCTGCTGATGTTCATGGAAATGCAGCAGAAAATGGCCCAAGTACATGGGTCCCTGCTACCTATGTGGGGAGACCCAAATGGACTTCTGGATCCTGGTGTCAGACCTCGCTGTTGATTATTTGAGGAATGAACCTGTAGCTTGAAGATCTGTCTTGATTCCTCTCTGTTACTCTTCCTTTCAAATAAATTTTTCAACAATAAGTACACCTGTCCTAAATAACATCTAGCATTATAGCATCATTTTGCTTAATGTTGGTACCCAAACTGATTGGTATGGTTACTCTTACTGGTTTGCTTTCTTAAAGTTCAGCATCATGTTCTCAGGGCAATCCATGTTGATACATGTCTTAGTGATTCATACCCCTTGAACTAACATCCTCACGCTGATTTAACCATTTTTTGTTGACACATCTTCAATTGTTAGGGATAGAAAAGTTTCAAGATCTACCCTAGTTTGAACATTTCAGAGTTTGGCACAAAAATGTGATTTTGTTAGGTTTTGAGCACCATCCTTGTTTTTTTTCATTACTACCAGTTATCCCCTTTTCCAAATAGTAGCCTATGAGCACACAGGAGATTGCTAGAAGCTTCATCTTCTATTGCTGGCTTCATCTTTAATAAGCAATGGAGGGGTTGTGTCTTAGTCCATTTCCAGCTGCTACCAGGAAATACTACAGGTTGGGTAATTAATAAAGCACTCTGTTGCAGTTCTGGTGACAAAGAAGTTCAATGTTGAGTCACCTGCACCTGGTAAGAGCCGTGTTGTCATCACATGATGAGAAGGCACGTGGAGAGAGCCCATTTTTTATAACCAATCATTCCTATGACACTGGCATGAATTTATTTTTCATGGGATGGGCCCTCATGGCCTAATCCCATCGTAGGGATCCATTGCTACGTGTTCCAGTGGCAATAAGTTCCAATGTGGGCTTTGGAGGGGATATTCCAGCCGAAATGGGCCTCATTGTGCAGTGGCCAAAAGCATGCACTCACACTTTGCATCTTGATTTGGCTACTTGTGAGTTGTGTGATCTTGGGCAGTTTAGATCACCTCTCTGAACCTGAAATTTCTTATGTAGAAAATGGGGAAACCAGTGCCTGTCTCATATGGCTGCCATGAGGGTGAGAAAAGGTAACAAGTATAGGTACTTAGGAGCACATTTGTCGCTTAGTAAGTACTTGATAAAGTGATACTCTGTGTGTATGTGTGTGTGAGTCAAGAGACCAGCATTTAACCAAGACCAGTACACCTGTTCGTTGTATTTCCTGAGGCATTTCTAGCTTACTGTATGCCCAATGACTAGATCATACTTGAAACATTTGCTGAAAGAAATGAATAAACATGTGGAAATGTACAAGTGAGGTTATTGGACAGATGCACGTGCCAGGTGACTGCCGGGAGCTAGTCTATGAAGTGACCACTGAAGAATTTTCCAGTGTTTCCAGTGGTAACTCACAAACAAGTTGAACCAACATTTTCCCTGAAAATCAAATATCCTGTCATGTATAATCAGTTACTTCTTTCAATTTCCTAAACAATACAATTAAAAAAAAAACTTGACATTTTAGGCAAATAATCACCCTTGAAACAGCAGCCTGCAGCTCAGAAATGAGCTATAGTTTCCTATTTGTCACACTGGCAGCTCCCTGCTCTCTCATCGCTCCATCCTGTCTGGTCAGCCTTCGTGCCTGGGGACAGCCTGACGACTGGAGCAAGTGTCCAGGGTTGCACCGAGCAGGAGGCACTTCCTGGTCGGCTCCTTCCAGACAAGGGGCCTCTGTTCACCTCCGGACTTGGGAGCAAACAGTCTCTGACTGTCCCAGCGGGTGAGCCGCACGCCCAGCCCTGTGACAGGATCCTTTACTGCACGTATTTTTGAGCAATGGATAGGAAGTAAACCATAGGCTGTGCTAATGCCAGTCATTCATAAAGCAGTCCTCAGCAGTCATGTTTACAGGCTGATGTTTAAAGAAAGAAAATGGGGCTCGTTACCGGGAATTCCTTCTCAGTGGTAGGGCGTGTGCAAAGGTGTGTCCTTCCTGCACAGAGGGGCTCTGACCAGGGGCCCCTGTGGAATGATGGTGCAGTGTTAGGATTGCTCAGGTTTACTTTGGAACTGCTGTCCGGACCTAACTCCAACCTTTAAAAATACTGGATGTACATTTGCTGAACTAGCTTAGTTTACTCCTATTAAAAAAGAGAAGCTATTACCTTCAGACCAGAGATGGTCTCCCCATGAAATTGTTGAACCCACTAGGATAATAAGATGCTGGACTTTATGCTTGATAAATACTACCAATGAAAGAAACTCAACTGAATTTGAACTGTGGTAATGCAGCAAGGTGGAGAAATCCACCATGGGGAGAGGGTTCGGGGAAGGGTGGGGGGAATCCCAGTGCCCATAACACTGTGTCACATAATGCAATACAATTAACTTTAAAAAAAAGAAGCTAGCTTGGGTTTCTGCTTGACTTTGAGCATAGTGCATGGAGGGGACTATGCTGTGAGCACTGGTCTGCTTAGCTTCAAGGGATTCCAATCCTGGCTCTGTATCAGCTGTGGCCTGCCCCAGGGGACACACAGGCGGGGGTGGGGTGGAGGGGAAGGAGGGAGGGCTTTTGTGAGGGGCCATCCTGAATGGCAGGAGGTGAAGGAATGACAAGTATTATAGGAGTGCGGGTTGCTATTGTTTCAAATGGAGAGTTCAGAGCTGAACTGCTTTCTGTGGAGGGGGTGGGTTGGGGAGAGAGGAGGAGAGAGAGCAGGAAGGAAGTGGGGGGGGGGAGGGCTGGCTGTCCCTCCCTTCTCTCTCCTCAAACCCATCCATGCCTTCTTGCTGACCCAGAGACAGAATA